TTTGTGTCCAAGCATGTGGTCAATTTTTGAGAAGGTTCCATGGCCTTCTCAGGTTTAGCCCTGCTGGGTAAAGCAAGCTCAGATTCTCAGACCATGAGTAGGTTCTCACTAGGAAAACTCCATGGGTCTCTAAAACAGCCATAACTGTTACACAGAGAAACTCCATCCAAAAATAAACCTTAAAAAAGGAAATAAAATAAAAAGAAATTTTTGTTTGGCATGGATGGAAAGATGGCTCAGTAGTTAGGAGCACTACAGGACCTGGGTTCAGTTCCCCCACACCACATGGCAGCTTACAAGTGTTTGTAACTCCAGTTCCAGAGGACCTGAGGTCCTTTCTGGCCTCTGTGGTTACTGCACACTAGGGGTACACAGACATATATATAGAAGACAAAAACACCCATAAATGTAAAATAATAAAATGAAATAAAAATTTTAAAAACAATATTTTAATTCATGATTTTCATCATTGTTTTTGTTGGCTAGGAGACTCCTTAAATACAGATGCCATTGATAAGATGATTCAAAAGAAACTACCTGGAACTGACATCCTGCCTCTAGAGACCGGGAAGGACACAATGGAGGTAAGATGACAGCTAGTTCCCTGAGAGGTTTGCAGAGGGGTTTGATAGATTTTGCTATTTGAATGCTCCATACTGCAAACCATATCCCCATTGGTTTTGTTTCATTTTGTTTTGGGATGCAGGACTTTTCTGTGTAGCCCAGGCTGGCCCGGAACTTGATCTCCCCGCCCCAACCCCTGAGTGTTGGCATTGCAGGCATGCGCCATCCTGCTCTTGACTCTGATGGAGACAGGAGGGTCTCACCCTGTTCAAGTCACTTTTCTGTTGCTGTGATAAAAACACCGTGATGAAAACCAACTTATGTAGAGTTTCTATGGACTTACGGCCCCAAAGGGATAAGAGTTCATCACGGCAGAAAGACATGGCATCAGGAGAGGGAAGGTGAGAGAGCACAGCTTCCAGTGCAGACAGGAAGCAGGGAGAGCAACCTGGAAGTGAGGCAAGGCTGTGAGTCCTTAAAGCCCACCCCAGTGATAGACTTCCTACAGCAAGGCTGCCCCTCCCCACATCATCCCCAAACAGGACACCAACTGGGGACTATGTGTTTAAATATCTGAGTCTATGAGGACATTTCCTTCAACCCCCGCCCAAGACTTAATTCAGTTTCCATCTTAGAGAAGAATCCAGTTACCAACAGTCCCGCCTTTGATTTCTCACTGTTCCTGTTTTAGGATATGGAGAACAACGTCTTGAATGTCACTTCCCAAATGTGTGAGCTTCTTGCTAAGGATCCTAAATTTCAGCAATACTACATGGCTTTTACAATTTCCAGAAAAGTCTACATCTTGTAAGTATCCTTCTATTCTATAGCAGCACTTACACAGAATTGATGTTCCTTCTATTCCAATGAATTGACTGTAATGATTTGCATCCTCCTATAGAAATGAAAAGAAGTTACCTCCTCACTTGTTGTCTACATTAAAATTTTATAATATCAAAATTTATATTTTTCTATTAATTATGTGTGTATGTGGGGGGAGATTCGCAGGGCACATCTGCATGCAATGCCCATAGAAGCCTGAGGAGGGCATCAGTTCACTTCAAGCAGGAGTTACAGGTGATTGTGTGCTACCCATGTGGTTGCTAGGAACTGAATTTGTGTCTTCTGCAAGGGCACAAACACACTTAAACACTGAACCATCACTCCAGCCATGTAGTTTAAAATGTTTAAACCATATTTATTTATTTAGTGTGTGCATGATGAGCAACAAGATGCTGATGATTGTAATGATCACCATGATGATGATGATGATGATGATGATGATGAGGAGGAGGAGGAGCATAAGAAAAGGTCTCTTGGTTAACCTGGAGCTCACTATTAATCTAGACTGGCTGATTGGAGCCCTGGTATCCTCCTGTCTCTGCCTTCCCAGAGCTGATATTACCAGATTACTCTTCTTCCTGGATTTTTTTTTCTTATTTTCAGGCAACATGGAATACTGTGTCAGTTTCTCACACTTACACGAAAAGCACTTCTCTGACTGTGCCATCTGCCCAGGCTCTCTTGATTTATATTCTATGAAATATTTGTATTTGTATCCTTCTTTAGGGGAGGAGATTTGTAACTCTATGGTTTGGGGACCCATGGTGTATTGAATAGTGTAGCTGGAGGGCTTCTCTCCAGGTTCCCCAAGCCCCACAGTCCCACAATCCACTTATAAAATAATCACTCAGACGCTTATATCACTTATAAACTGTATGGCCGTGGCAGGCTTTCTGCTAACTGTTCTTTTATCTTAAATTAACCGATTTTTATAAATCTATACCTTGCCACGTGGCTGGTGGCTTACCGGCGTCTTTACAGGTTGCCTCTTCTGGCCGTGGCTGCAGTGTCTCTCCCCTCAGCCTTCCGCTTCCCAGAATTCTCCTCTCTCCTTGTCCCACCTACTTCCTGCCTCGTCACTGGCCACCAGTGTTTTATTTATATAGAACAATATCCACAGCAGAATAGGTTAATCTGTGAAGTGACTCTTGATACATTCCAATTTGACCTTCAGAGCTAACAATCACCTTTGATTTCTCCAGGAAGAGATGCTCAATGCCTCCCTTCAAATTTATCTCATTTTTTGGCAGATAGGCATTAAGGTAACTTCCCCTTTTTAAAAATTTGTTTTTATTATTTTATGGGTATTGTTGTTTTTCATACATGCAATTCCAAGGGAATATCTGATTCTCTACAAGTAAAGTTACAGACAGTTGTGAGCTGTCAAGCCTGTGCTGGGAATTGAACTGAAGACCTATAAAACTTAAGTATCTTGAGAACCTCAGCTCTCAACTGGGGAGCCTTCTCTACAGCTCCTCCTTTCACTGTGTTATGCCATTGTTCCCTTTTCTAACGCACATCCAACTGATACTTCTCTTTCTGTTTTCTTTTTGAGATAAAGTATTGCTTTGTATCCCAGGCTGGCCTCAAATGTAGCAACACTCCTGCCTCCGCCTTCTGATTGCTGGTTTATAATCATGTGCCATAGCACCCATCACCCACTCATTTAAAGAAAAAAATGGTAGTTTGATTAGTAAACTAAGTCAGATCCCCTGAAGCTGGAGTACGGGAATCTGAGAAGCATGTGATGTGGGTGTTGGGATCCTAACATGGCTCCTCTGGAAGAGCAGTGCACATTCAACTATTAAGCCATCTCTCCAGGCCCTAAAACTGACTTCCATTACAATTACTTATTTATTGTGTGTGGTCACACTTGTGCCATGGTGTGTTTGTGGAGTTAGAGGACAATTTAAGGGAGTCAGTTGTGTCTTTCTCCCATAGGTTCTCAGGGACTGAACTCAGGTTGTGACACTTGGCAGCAGCTGCCTTTACCTGCTGTACCATCTCCTCAGAGAGGAGTCAAGGATGTCTCCAAGTTACCAGTTTGAGCAACTGACTGAACAGTATTGCCATTTTATAGACAGGAACAGGGAGCCACTGGAGAGGAACAGAGGGCACGTGTGTTTGTTTAGGCAGGCCATTTGATTGGCTCACTAATGAGGCTGTTTTTCAAGCAATTATAATGTGTCTGATATTCAAGATGGTGACTGGGCTGGACACATTCAGAAATGCATATATACATTAATATACATTACATATATAGTATATAATTAATCTTGTTTACTTTAACTTTTATTATGGGAAATTATAATATTTATGAAAGCAGAGAGGAATAGAATGAATATCTCTGTATTTAGTTAAGTTTCTCCTTAACATTTGTTAGTTTTGGTCTGGTAAGATGGCTCAGTGGATTAAAATTGGTTCCCAGGCAAGCCTGACCAACTGACTGAGCCTGTCAGGTCCCTGTTGGAAGGAGACACCAACTCCAGAAAGTTGTCTCTGCCCTCCACACATGGGCCAAGACACCCACATTCACACGCAATCTTGTCCCATATCTCCACCTACTCTCCCAGGGTCAGAGTAATTTAAAGCAAAGTCCCATATTGTGACCCATAAATACTTATCAATTAAAGAGAAGAAGCATCTAAACTGGTGTGGTGGCATGTGTCTTTAATCCCAGCCCTAGGAGATGGAGACAGTAGGATCTGAAGATCAGTATCAGCCGTGGCTACTTAGTGAATTTGAGGGTAGCTTGGAACACATAAAAGTATGACTCAACAAAACAAAACTGTGACCCCCAACTCAGGTTTAGAAATATACTATTTTCTGGAGACCTTGAAGAAGAGTTGGATCAAACTGGGTTCCAAGTGGCTGGAGAAGCTGGGTGGAGCGACACAGGCTTTAATCCCTTGATTTGGGAGGCAGAGGCGGGCAGATCCGTGAGTTTGAGGACAGCCTGGTCCACTCAGTGAGTTCCTGCACAGCTAGAGCTACACACTGAGACCCTGTCTTGAACAAAAAGAGGGATGGGGGTCTGCAATGTGAGCTAGAGAGATGCTCGGTTGCTAATAACCTCTAACTGCTCTTGCAGATTGATGAAGCAACTTTCTTCGATCTCAAATCCAGTGGTTGGTCCCAACCCACAGCAAGTACAAGGCATCATGAACACAGCAGTGCTCTGCATCTCATTTTGTCTCTTGAGACACAACCTAACTGCAAAAAGCCAATCCCTCCCCCCATTCCCTATCCTTGGTCCTCCTCCTTCCTAACTTGGTAAAAGGTTCCTAGTCTTAAAAAAAGGCATGCTTGCTTAGTGTGAGCTTTTCTCAGGTTCTCTGAAATAAACCCGCCTGTGTTTGAGTCCAGTCTCTCGATTTCTTCCACATTTTTTCCTAACACAGTACACAATTCCGGGAGAGAATTGGAGAAGGAGACCCCCATGCAACCCAGGGATCATGTGCAGCAACAGGGCACCCAGGGCTAACACTTGGATTCTGAGGTTTCCCTGAGTTAGTTCTACCCTGTCTCTGAACCTCTCCTACTTTCTCCCACTCACCTCCCTCTGTCAGCCCTCTGGACTGAGGATTTCAGATTCCTTTGAGCCAAGGACCTGTTTATCCAGACTACCTGGTCCTGGCATGGGCAGCTTTCCAAACCCTTGTTGGGCTTGTTTCTGTAACATTCCCTTCTTAGTGCACCTGGCCTTCCTCTTGTCGCTCCCTCCCTCCCTTAAACCTCTGTGCCCTCCCCCCTTTTTTTTCTAACAATAGGCCCCAGAAAAAAATGAGTGTGTTTATCCCCCCTTACAGTCAGAAATCCAACCCGAGGCCAATCTCTGACTTGTTAGGTCATAGGTGTATTGTGTCTGGATGAGTCTTTGGGACTGACTCCCTTATCTTAACTGCACTCAACATTCTTCTCCCCCCTACTCCAAGAGACACCCTAATTTCTCAGTTTTCCTGTCTTCTTAAAATTCACTTCCAGGGACTGAACACAGGACTTTGGGCTTGGTTTCAGCTACCTTAACCACTAAGCAGATTTTATTTCAGCGTGTGTGTCCTTGTGAGAAATTAGGTGAGGTCCACAAGGGCAGCACAGCCTTTTAGCACTGTGCTTCATGGAAGAAGAGGAAGGAAGACAGGACTCTGCCTTGTGTTGGGACTGGGGGAGGGAGACTTAATTTTCATCTGGGGCTAGTCATGGCAGGTGGTGTTTGTTCTGGATCTTGAAAGAAAGAGAAGATTCCAGTGGGTAAAGATGACATTACAGAGGAGGAAGCTTTAGCTAGTGAGAGCAGGAGGAAGGCGTCTTATTAGAGATCTAATCAGGGATCCAGACTGTCATGGAGGCCATATGTTGAGTGCAGCAGAGAAATGTGGGAACCTGGCTTCTTTTTATCCAAGTTGCAATCTGGTTTATAGCCAGAGACTCTTGTCACTCATGTCCCCTCTTTAGTACGTGTCTGTTCTGTGCACAGTGTTTTCTCTTCTTCTAGATTCAAGGTATCAATTGCCTACTCAATTTTTTTCTTGAAAAACATTAAAAATGTTAAAAAGAATCTGTTAAGTAGGGTGTGTGCACTGCACAGTGGGATCTGCAACACTGACTTTATATAGTAGGAAGTGGAAAATCCCAGTACTCTGGACGCAGAGACAGGTAGATCCCTGTCATTCAAAGCCAGCCTTGTCTACATAGCAAGTCTCAGGATGGCCAGAACTACACAAAGGAATATGGTTCAACAAACAAACAAACTAACTAACTAACTAACTAACTAACTAACTAAATAAATAAATAAATAAATAAATAAATAAATAAATAAATAAATAAAAATAAAAGCCAGACCTTGCTGGTACATGCCTTTTATCTCAGCTCTCAGGAAGAAATAAGTAGTTCTCTGGTGTCGATGCCAGACTGGTCTACAGAGCAATTTCTAGGACTGCAGGGCTACACAAAGAAACCCTGTCTGGGAAAATAAAAAAGAAAGACAGAAAATCATTACGTCAACACAATGTGTCAGGGGTTAAAGTTGCTACTACCAAGCCTGACTTACTGAGTGCTATCCCTTTTCAGACTTGGGGATTGAACCCAGGACCTAACAGATGCTAGGCAAGCACTTTACCACTGAACTGTGCCCTCAGCACTATCCGTTTTGTTTGTTATATTTTGTTTTGTTTTTTCGAGATAGAGTTTCTCTATAGCCCTGGCTGGCCTGGAACACAGAGATCCACCTATCTCTGTCTCCCATTGCTGAGATTAAAGGCGAGCACCACCATGCTTGGTCCAGGCTAGATTTTTCCCAACAAAATTGAAGGAGGGTTTTATTTTTTCATTTCATTTTTTTTCTTTATTAAGAAATTTTCTACTCACTCCACATACCATCCACAGATCACTCCTCCTCACTCCTCACCCCCCAAGGGGGGTTTGATAGAAGGATAATATGGAAAGTAGGGATTCAGAGGAGAGGGCAGTCTGGGCAGAGCAGTGTCCCCCAGAGTGGAAGTGGAGCAGATTCCAGACAGCTGTTGAGAGGTTCTGTGCACTTGACAGCTGTGAGGGGCCGGGGATGGGAATGAGAGCAGCAGAGTGAATGAGCTGTAGGAGGAGAATGGCCTGCAGATTTGGGCTCCAGAAAGAACAAGGAATGAAAGTTGCGGAAGTTTAAGGCGTCTGTGGAGGTCAGAGACAGAGCGTGTGCTGGGGAGAAGTCGGTTAGGGGGAGTCTCACTGGGGAGATCCAGGCAGACTGGAGAGCAGGGAAAACTGTGGACTTTTAGGTTTGGGTAGAAAGGCAGATCCAGCAGAGGCCAGTGGCTGATTTGCCTGACTGAAAAGCTTGTGGTGAGACTGAGGAGGAACATCCAGCTGTCAGAGCTCTGTGGAGGAAGCTTGAGAGAGACAATGAGAGACACCCAGTACAGGGCTGGGTGGTGCGTTATTCTCTCCTTCTCCTATGTGGGTCCCAGGGATGGAACGCAGGTCATTTTCCTGGCAGCAGGTGTCTTTACCCACTCCAGCACCATGCAGCCTTGTGTACTGGCTTCTTTATTCCAATATTGTACATGGAAACCTAGAACTTTCTATGCAACCAAGGATAGCCTCTATCTCCTGTTCCTCTTGCCTCTACTGCCCAAGTGCTGGGAAACATTCATGTCTTACTAGGCCTGGATAATTTGATTTTTGAAGATAGTGTCTCATGTAGTCCAGTTTGTCCTTTATTTGATATGTAGTCAAGGATGGCCTTTTTTGTTTTTCTTTCTCTCATTTGTTTCAATATTTATTTTAAGACAGGGTCTCACTCTGTAGCTAAATCTGTCTTGGAGCTCACTATGTAGTCCAGGCTAGCCTCTAATCTTTCATGATTCTCTTGTCTCTGCCTTCTGAGTCCAGGAAGTACAGGAGCCTCAAGTCCACGGTCCCAAAGGTAACCTTGAACTCATGATCCTTCTACTTTTCAAGTAGTGGGGTTACAAAAAGTGCACAGCCCAAGGAGAGACATGAGAGAACATCTGAAGGGTGGATGGAGGTAAGGAGGTTTCAGTGTCTTGGATCCCAGTAGAAAAAAAATGTTCCCTGAAGAAGGGAACAAGCCAAGAGTGATGGCTGACACCTGGGATCTCAGGGTTGGGGATGTGAAGGAAGGTGGATGACTGTACGTTCATCTAATCACTAGTGAGATTATAGTGAGTTGCTGCACACTCTGGAGTGATACCCCACCTCAGGAACTAACAAACAAACAACACACATCAACAAAACCCCACACCAACCAAATAGGAAGAGAGCAGGTCAATGGACCACAGGTAGATAGATAGGTCCGTCAGTAACAGCCTGGGAACTGATTATTGAACTTGCCATGTCAAGACCTGTATCCATCTTGACAGAAGCAGTTAGAGATTGATCTTTTTGGAATGGGTTAAAAAAACCACAGATAGGAATTAGCCAGTGAATATGGACAGCTCCTGCAAGGCTGCTTCAGACCCCAGCGCTGGAGCCAGGCTCACAGACGATGTGAGATGGATGCTGCTCTCTCCAGCACTCAGGCTGTCACTGAGCAGAGCTGTGTTGTTCTGGAATGTCTGTGGTGCAGGAGTAAAAGATTCACCAGAGAAGAACTGATGCCAGGGTTTTAATAAACTATGTATGTACTCTGTGGACAGAGACACAGCAGACTGGTTCTTAGAGAGAGAATTGCACCCAGCAGGAGTGGGGCACTTTCACCACAGTTGAGAACAGTTTCCTGCACCCCTTCATTTTGCCCTCTGTGTACTTGTTTGAGTGGACAAGGTGGACAGCTCACTATTTGTCCACAGTGACTCCTGTCACACCAGGTGTCCATTTGGGGTGCAGGCTCTTTAAGATCTAATTGTTTGTAAAGCAGCACAGGTCACTGTGTCAGGGTCTGAGAAGCAGGGGAGTTGGTTTTCACTTTTAGCCTTTGCTTGTGTGTGCCTCAGGCACTTCATGTACCTCATCCTGGTCCTGGCAATCCTCCTGCTTCAGTCTTCTGAGTGATGAGATTATAGATTTGTGTCAGCACAGCTGCCTCCTCCTTTGTCGTTTTTATTAATGTGATGAGCAGCCGAGAATAACCTTGAACTTCTAATCCTCCTCCCTCTGCCTGCCAAGGGATGGGACCATATGTGTGCTTCCTTGTCCAGTTTACACAGTCCTGGGGTCCTTCCCAGGGTCTGGTGCATGCTGGGAAAGCTGTCATCAGAGCTACTTCTCCAACTTGTTAGCACCTGACAGACAGAGCTCTACAGGAAGTGTTCTTTTATCTGTTCCTGCCTGGGGGAAATTCATGGGACATCAGTTTCATCTTTTTCAGTGTACAATTTGGTGGCCTTGAGCCTGTTCACCAGCTGAGGAAACCACAGCTTCTCTGTCGTTTCAAAATTGTGAGCACCAGGCAAAACTCCATATGGGTGAAGTAATTGATTCCTCCGCCTCCTCTCACTGTTGACAACCTCCCCTTATTCTCTTTTCGTGGGGTTTCTTATTCTGGACACAACAGGTGAAGGTGTGGATGATTTGTCTTTTGTGTGAGATTATTTTATGAAACATTATTGGTGAAATTATTATGGCCACTCTGCATAGTTAAAAGGATATTTATTTAATGGTGTAACTCACAAATTAAGTGATAGGTAGGTCGCAGGGTCTGGGGAAGGTGTATTGCAGTCCAGCGGTGTTCTCTGGAGCTCTGCTCGGTTCACCTCCACTGCTCAGGGTCCCGGCACAGAGAGAGTACACAGAGAGAGCGCTGGCCCATCCAGCTCTCAGGTCTCCAGGCGCCTCCCCTGGCCCCACCTTGTAGGCGTGACAGTTGCCAGAGTCTCAGTGGGGGTTGGAACTTCCATATCCAA